TTCCCTTTTTTTTTCTTCAAAGGTTTTATTGTGGATTGAGTAAACATTTACAGGGCAGATCATAAGTTTTACATTCAGCAAATCATACTCCTTGTTTCATTACAATTGTTATAATCCCCTCCATGTACTATCAGTTAAAAGTATTTCTCTCTATTCACTTTAGCTTTTGTTTTTTTTTTTTTAAACACCCAGGCATACATAATAATTTACACCACCAAAGGACACATTCTGCAAGTCTGCCTCCTAGCCTCTAGCTCTTAGTCCCTCTCTTCCCATGAATCTAGAGTCCTCAGCTGTTCCTTCTCTCCAAATCCCCATCTCTGCCTCCATCTCTGGCTTTGCTGCTTCTCTGGATAAGGTCTCACATTCCACTTGTGTTCTTCTCCCTTGATGATCCTAGGGTCCTTTGTTTCTGGACTGTAAGATTAACCACTCCCCTGTTTTGTTTTTTTTTACAAAATTTCTACCTTTACAATTGTGACAGTCACAATTAGACATGATAACAATTACTCACTATTGAATCATAAGAATCTTATTCCCATCTCTTTTCACCAGACCCATCTACACAAGATGAAAACTATTTAGTGGGAACTCTTTCTTTCCCCACACATCATTAAACTAAGCTCCCTCTTGAAACTTTGTAAACCAGTCACTTCATGCCTTTATCACCCCTCATTTTAGGTAGCCAATGTCTAAGTTGCCCATCCCTATCTACCCTGTATACAGAGGGGATAGCATTGTACTTGATGTGAAGACTCCTTCCCTCTCTGTTGGTATTTAGAGTTACTACCTTAGGAGTCCTGTGTGGCACTGTAGGTTAATGTGCCAGAGTGCAAAGCCGTTTGAACTGCAAGGTCGGTGGTTCAAGCTCACCAGTCACTCTTTGGAAATCTTATACAGGGTTGCTATGGGTTGGAACCGACTCGACGGCACTTAACAACAACAACAACAACAACCTCTAATAGGTCAGAGTATAGGTCAGGTTCATCAAATTGTAGCAATTTACCCTTGTTTCCTTTATCAAAAATTGTTTTTTGTTTTTTAAATCTTCCTCTAGTCGAGTTCTGGTTATCAAGCCATTGAGGCTAGGTCCAATGGGTACTGTCTGCAAGTTTGTGTTTCCCTTGGTTTCGACTGTGACTTCCTTGGAACTTTCTGTCCATCCATTCAAACAAAACTAACCCAAAGTCATTGTTGTAAAGTTGATTCTAACTCATTGTGATACCATATGACGAGTAGAACTGCCTCATTGAGTTTCTGAAATTATGTCTTTACAGAAACAGACTCCATCATCTTTCTCCCATGGAGCAACTGGTGGGTTCAAACAGCAGACCTTTCAAATAGCAGCCAATGCACAACCAGGGCTTCTTCATCAATCTATTGAAGGAACTTAAATATAATTGTTTTGAATTCTTTATAAGACTACAATTTAATTTCTTCCTCTGAAAGATTTTCTAGTCTTGTATTTTGGTTGCTTGTTTGAACCATAGTTTCTGTTTTTTTTGGTGTGTGTTTATGGGTGTGCATGTTTGTGCGTTTGCATGTAATTTGAAGTTGTCTGTTGTCCCCAAGACATTGTAGTTGTTAAGTTCAATCGAGTTGGTTATGAATCATAGCCACTTTGGTGGGTTTCAACCACCAAATCTTGTGGTTACCAGTCCAATGTTTATCCTACAGCACGACACCAAGATCCCAGACATTGTAGTATTGTTGTATTAATTTGCTGGTTGTATGTTCATTTACTGCACCCTGATATTTTTTTGTCTTAACATATCCAGGTAACTGGGCAAGCATGTTATTCTGGTCACTCACTAATTGGGCAGTACTGAGGTACTCACTACCTCTTCTCCAGACTGATGTGGTAGCTGGGGGGATGTGGGCATGAGTTTTTGATCACTAACTGTGTAAAGCAGCTGAGGGCAGGCTGGGTGGTGTTGGCTGCCATCTGTTTTTCATCCAATGGTGCTGGAGTGGGTGATGGTATTCACCCAGAGTAGGGCAATAGATATGGAGGGTATGGCTGGATAGGGTTGCTGGCTTCTGACACTTGGGAAAATATAGAGAAAAAAAAAGGAGATCTACGAAGAAAGGGAAAAGCAAAAAGAAGGGGGAAATACAGCACAGTGTTTGTGCTAGCCACCAGACATGACTGTGACAGAACTATCCAGCTCACTCGGTGAAAGCCTGTACTGCTGAAGGCAAAGTGTCAGGGGCAAGAGTTACTGAATGCAGAGGTAGCAGGGAGTGTAGCACCCACTTAGACGAACAAAAAAAGAGGCATGGAAGAAGAAGCAGCAGCTACGGAATACTTACTGCACATCCGAATTGTATGTATCATGGTTGTGTGCCATCAAGTTGGTTTTGTCTCATAGAGCCCTTGTATGAGGTTTCTGAGGCCATAAATTTTTATAGGAGCAGAAAGCCTCATCTTTTCCCATGGAGTGACAGATAGCTCCGAACTGTTGACCTCTCTGTTAGCATCACAGTTTATAATCCATTACGCTACCAGGAGGTGGTGCTTTAGCAGCTGTATAAAGCATACTGATGTTCATTACAGCCTGCTTTAGCAGCTTCATAAAGCCTGCTGCAATGAATTTAAATGTGCATATATCTATTCATGTCCTAGCTTTTATTTCTCTAGGATACCTAATAGTGGGATTGGTGGATCATATGGTATTTTTATTTCCAGTTTTTTAAGGAAGAATACCATTTAACTGGTAGGATTTTTAAAAAGCCTCTTCAAGCAATTAAATAATGTTTTTTGTTGTTGTTCTAATCTTAAGCAAAACAAAGAAACTGAAAACCTTGATATAACATATATTTGGCATCATATGTTACTATGAGGGGCTTCAAAAAGCTAATGGAAAATTTCATTATCTTTTCATTCCATTTTTCCATGAACTTTGTGAAGCCCCTCATGCTACTATAAGGCTCTTTGCTTTATTGTATAGCTTCTTAGCAACTGCATAAAACGTTAATGACAAAACTTTTTGATGGACTTGTAATGTACAAATATGTAAATTTGTATGACAAAAATATGGAAGAGGTTGGGGCAGGGGATGAATCTATCTCTAGAACATGTTTTTTGTATATTATACAAAAAATTGTTCACAAAATATTCCACTACAACACTTTCTACTAAACTATAGCCCCAGTGTGGCCTGTGGGTTAATGTGCTGGACTGAAACTTCAGTTTGAACCTCAAGATTGGCAGTTCAAGCTCACCAGCTACTCCTCAGAAACCCACAGGGTAGCTGTGAGTTGGAACCGACTCCAAGGCACTTAACAACAACAGCAACAAGGTTCAATAATTAATTGTGATGGCCACACAGAACTTAGACACCATTCTCACAGTTATCACAGGCAGTTATGGGGTTTATTAGGGAAGTTATTAGGTTACAATGCAGGATCAAGACACAGTTCTTCCAGTCAGGACAGCCTCTCCTTTTTCTTAGCTGTGCCCTCAGGCAGAGACCTGTGGGCACAAGGTCAGCAGTTTATATAAAAAAAACATGTAAAGATAGATTCAGGCAATATTGCAAAGCTCTTTTAGGACTGCTGGTAAATGCCCACAGAGCACACTGCTTCACCAGCTTGAAGGCACTTGACTTTAGCTCCATGGGTCAGTAAACAGCTCTCCCAATTAAGTGCCCAGAGGACAACACTATGCAAGAAAGCCTTCTGCCCAAAGTCACTCAAGCTTTACTTTCTCTATGGGCTTGGAAACCCTGCTCCTCTGCCACCCCTTCCTGTGTCACAACTTTCTGTCCTTGGGCTAAAGAGGTTCAATGAGCAGGGATCTTGGGGTCCAAATGGCAAGTTCTACTCCTGGTTCTTCTTTGATGGTAGTGAGATACCATCTCCTGCTACTGAGATGGCTCATTTTATACTCATGTTAGACTTCCAAGTTTTCACAATCACAATGAACTCTATTAGTAGTCATTCACAACTGAAGCATATCATGCTATCACCCATCATCTTCCACCTTCTCTTACGCAAATCGATCAGGAAAATAGTCATTTGGTGGGCGTTACAAAGACTAAGAGTAGAACAAATATATTAAATACTGTACTATACCACAATT